CAGCATGTTTAGTGAAATTTCCTGTTTTCTTTGATGTGAACTTAGTCTAAACTGTAGGTTTCCTTGCTGTAACTGTTGTTTATATTGGTTGAGCTGCATATTTATTTTGGGACTACGGAACGGTATTCCGGGAGATCCCCATGTACTGCATATTTACTTTGGGACTACGAAACGGTATTCCGGGAGATCCCCATGTACTACATATTTACTTTGGGACTACCAAACGGTATTCCGGGAGATCCCCCAGCACTAATATTTACGTTGGGACTACAGAAATACCCCTGCACATTTACGTTTGGGACTACGGGACGGTATCTCGGAAGATCCCCTATTGCTATTACTGTGTTCTGAGCTGTTGATTTTCATTGAATTCTATTCCTGTTGGATTTCCGTATTTATTTTACTGTAATATTTCTTCTATCTTATTTTGATTATATATATACTAGCAGGGCCCTGACGTGATCTCGTCACTACTTGACCAAAGTTAGGCTTGGCACTTACCGGGTGCTGTTGTGGTGTACTCATGCCCTTTCTTGCACATGTTTTTCATGTGGAGATCCAGGTACTAGCTATCAGCCTCGAGTCTAGTTGTGTGGTTGCTGCCTCAGGAGACTTCAACGTACATCTACCCGCATCTGCAGACCTCGAAGTCCCATTCTACCTCCTTGTTTTCTTCAGTTATGAATGTATAGAGCAGTTAGAAACTGTTAGAAGCTTGTGACATTGCGACATTCCGGGATTTGGGAAAGATGATTATTGTATATGATGAGTTGCACCGTTTACGCTTGTTAATTATATCTGTTAGCTGTTATCTTTGTGTTTTTATTTCATTTCCGCAATATTAGCTTACCTAGTGGTAGAGACTAGGTGCCGTCACGACAATTCACGAAGGGAGAAACTGGGTCGTGACAAGTTTCAACACTTCTAGATATGAATCAAAAGCTTACCACAGCAGAATATAATGCTCATGTGGGAAAGCTGGGAGATCCATATTTAGGAGACATTACTGCATATCAGAAGCTGATTGGGAAGCTCTTGTACTTAACAATCACACGACCTGACACTAGTTTTGCAGTAGAGACACTGAGCCAGTTCATGCAGAGTCCAAAACAATCTCATATGGATGCAGTCTTAAGAGTGGTCAAGTATATCAAAGAAGCACCAGGTATAGGAGTATTTCTACATGCAAAGCCAGTTGACTAATTGACTGCCTATTGTGATGCAGACTGGGCAGTCTGCCCTAATACTAGGAGGTCTGTGACATGATATGTTGTCAAATTAGGGAGCTCTCTAATTTCATGAAAATCTAAGAAGCAACAAACAGTTAGCAGGAGCTCAGCAAAAGCAGAATATAGAAGTATGGCAGTTGTAACAACAGAAGTCACTTGGTTATCCGGCCTTCTTGAAGAACTGGGGATACCAATTTCCAAACCTGTCCAATTATTCTGTGACAACAAGGCAACTATTCAAATTGCTAAGAATTCCATATTTCATGAACGCACCAAATACATTGAAATAGATTGTCATTTTGTACGACAGAAAATCAAATCTCGGCACCTTACACCACACCATGTCACGTCTGCTCTACAACTTGCAGACTTGCTCACAAAGGGTTTGTCAGCAGCTCAACATCACTCACTTGTTTCCAAGCTTGGAGTGTTGGATATCTTCCGACCTCCAGCTTGAGAGGGGGTATTAAAGTAGGGTATTGAATATATTAGCCTATTGGTAGTTATGTTAGTTAGTGAGGGGTATTTTAGTCTTTTTACCCATTCTTACACACTTGACTCGTGTGAGTGGATTGTATAAAGACAAGCACTCTGAATTAACAGAGGCAGTTGCTCTATAATAGAAAATGACCTTCTCCTTCGTTCATCTGCTTCTCTCAGCTATGTTCATTCTTAGTTACGTGCAATTGTGAATTCTTCTAGATCTGTATTCAGATTTTTTCACCTCCAGACTAGGATCTTTCATAAAATTAAGTGGATTTTACGAGGTTTTCATTTTTTGCGTTGTGGCTATTGTAACAAATTCAGAAGTACTATTGTGCTAGCTATATATGGAATATTATTATGAGGTTTTCCTATTTTTGTTGTTTTGTAATGTACGTGTATTACGCATACATTCTTTATTTCTCCTAGATACATGAAGTACTATGCAAAATATTTAAGTGTTTACGAAAATGTACTTAGCTAGTGTTGGATATATATTTAGTTGAAACTTGAAAATAGAGTTTTTGAAGTTATATTGGAAAATTTTTTTGGAAGTTGAAGTTGTATTTTGACATGCATTTTATTTGAAGAAAAGTTGAAGTTTTGTGTTTTATGAGCGGAAGAAAAAAGTTCACCCAAAAACTACCCTAAAAATTTTTTTTTCAATTTTTTTTTTTAAAAACTAATCATATTTCATGAACAAACAATGTTTTTGCTTTTTTTTTTCTTTTTTTTTTTTTGAAAAAAAAATTAGCCCAAATCTATGACCAAACGGGAGCTTACAATCACTTTAGGTTACGTTCAGATGGAAATTAGCTGGCGAATCAAGAGAAGCTAATTTCAAGAATATTGTTGATCAATCGTACTGGATTAATGCCTTTGTAGTTTGTCTGTTTGGTAGCATAAACTGTAGGTATTATATCCCGAATAATTAATGATCTTAAATTTATGTACTGACAGTATTAAAAGTCTCTACAAAATTAAATTAGTTTTAAGATAATTATAATAAATATGTGCAGTAAACATTAAAGAAAATGTTGTTTTAAGGAGGTAAAGAAGGTGAAAGAGATAGATCATTGTACGTGAAAGGGCTAAATAATTTTAACTTTACAATTTAGTAAGTTCTCTTTTAATTGGTTGAAGACAAATTAAAGGTGCCCCCAGCTTGTTGTTATCCTTTTGGAGGTAGTAGTTAATGCCCTTTGGCATAACGAAGGTACAAAATTAAGCTGCAATTTGCAAAAGAATCTCGTTTAGATGTCTGGAATATCTTAATCTTCTGATCCATGTTTCTTTTATACTAAGACAACTAATTTTCTGCCCTTTGTTTGTTGCATCATATATGTATGTTTTTAGGGTCTCTCCCTGGTTGAGGCTGCATTTATTTATACATATTCAACTTGACATGTGGGAAGGGCTTACTCTACTAGTGGCTAGGGGTGTCAAATGGGGCAGGGCGGGGCGGGGCAAGCCTTTGACCTGCTAATATTTTGACCCGTCCTGCCCTGCCCTATTTAGCATTTTTTCAAATTTTGCCCTGCCCCGTCCTGCCCCGTTTAGGCTTTCTTGTATTTTTTTTTTCAAATTTGTAATATTATGTTTATGCATTAATGTTTTTTTCCCTATTATGGAGAAGTGTCCCTATTAGCGCAAGAACACTTGTGAAAAAGATTTAGCTCAATACGTTATGAGAGGTCAATCAACTTTTGCATATTGACATTAGTGTAACTACATGGGGTTAAAGTAACTACGTGTGATTCCATCTTCTTTCTTTGGGTAATGGGTAGTTATTTCTGATCTATATACTAACGCATATCCCAAGTGTCCGAGATCCAAGTATATGTATTTGCATACATTAGTTGATATTCTGCATTTTAGTAGTAAAAGCAAAAATAATATTTTCCTGAAGACTCTTCATGTTTAGTTCTTTCTTTTGATCACGGTAGAACTTTTTCTGAATTATCCTATGCAGGCAAATTAAATTTCCCATCATTCAACTTGGACTATAATATGACATTTATTGCAGGCAAGAGCATACTGAAATTACACATTTAGATAAGAATCTCATGGCTCGCATAGTAACATTTTGAGATATACTGCTAATGTACTATACCTCAGACATAAAAGTGCATCACAAACTTTCATATGAGCATATGTGGTGAAATTACCAAACTAATTTCAAAAGTTTCACAGAACATATAAAAGAGAGATGGACTCAACCTAATAATCCAACAAAAACCATACAAGGAATGTAAGCATGTCAAGGGTCTCATAGTTGCACAATACAAGCTCGACACCACTAATTACACCACAAAAATAGTCAATATTAAACAGTAGCTATGTGGCAATCCAAATTTGAGAGGAACAAAAGGAATGTAAGCATGTCAAGGGTCTCATAGTTGCGATAGACCACTTGAATCTGGCTCGTCCTCCTCATCAAGCAATGTTGGACATGAAACTTGATCAACCGTTGAAGTCATACCTAAAAGGAAAAATGCATAGTTCAATGTATCAATATAGTAATTAAACAATTGAATACCTAAAGACAATAATGAGAAAATTACTTACCATTTAAGTCGTTCCATAACCACGTGCGAGCACACATTAAAGCTTCCAAAGTAGTGGGATGGAGTCTACTCCGATGCGGGCTAATCAACCTCCCACTAGTGCTAAATGCTGATTCTGAAGCAACAATAGACACGGGAATGGCTAAGAGATCACGAGCCATTTTTTGCAATGTAGGAAATTTCAATCCATTTGTCTTCCACCAACTCAAATTGTCAAATGACGGGGTTCGAGGTAGTAGGTCTTCTTCTAAGTACATATCCAACTCTGATCTTTTCTCCACGGTACCTCCAGTCGAAGCTACAAATCTATCAAAGCTCGAAAGCCGATCACCCTGAGTAAAACTAGAGACTTCACTAGAACTAGATGCTAATGAATCATGTGGAGCAGATAATTTACTCTTATAATCTTGAAAGAGATCATAACAATTGGATCGAACTTCTTGAATTTTAGTTGAAGCTTCTTCACCATAAATTAGTGGAAGAAAGAACTCTACCAACCTCATCTTGTACCGTGGATCAAAGATTGCAGCTACTCCCATCAAAATATGCACATCATCCCAATATTTTTTAAATTTCAACAACATNAACTTTCTAACAACATCACAGATGCCATATCGCTGATCAAAGGATTAAGCTCTTTCACCCAGACTTCCAATTCTAGCTTAATTTCACAAACTTTTGTAAAGTATTGACTAGAAGTTGGATATTGAGTTCCTGAAAACTATTCAGTGATATGATGAAAAAGTTTGAGCTTATCAGAAACATCTTCTGCATTACTCCGTTGCTCTTCAGTTGGATACGACTTATAATTTGTGTCAGTTAGACTCAACTTGTTAAACACCTCTTTGTATTCTATAGCTGTTCTCAACATTAAATATGTTGAGTTCCACCGAGTAGGACAATCATACTCCAACTTCTTATTACAAGAACAGTGAACCAAACGTGCGGCTTCTTCAAACCTCTCAATTCTGCCAGCTGATCCAATCCAATACAAGACACTATCACACACTTTGCTAATACTATCTCCTATCATTTTTAACCCTTCTTGCACAATCAAGTTTAAAATATGTGCAGCACAACGCACATGAAATACTCGACCACTCAACAACAAATCTTTTTTATTAAGTTTCTCATCTAATAAAGTTTTAATCATAGCATTGTTTGTGCTACAATTATCAACTGTGATAGTGGATAGTTTTCGTTCAAGATTCCAATCAAACAAACAATTAACCAAAGCACCACACAAAGCATCTTTATCATGTGGAGCAGGAACATAAGCAAATCTCAAAATATGACTTTGAAGCCTCCATGAATCATCAATGAAATGACCAGTAATAGCCATGAACCCTTTTTTGTTACTATTGGAAGTCCACATATCAGTTGTTATTGCAATTCTACTCGTGACTTTCTCCAACAACATAGAAGTTTGTTATTTCAAATTGTCAAAGATTTTTATTATGTCATTCTTGATTGTATTTCTAGAAACCATCTTAAACATAGGTTGAAGACTCGCAAAAAAGTTCCTAAATCCCACATGATCAACTATAGAGAGTGGATACTCATGTAAAATAATGGCATGTGCAAGTTTTTTACGTGAGACATCTTGATCAAAGTAACCACTCCCGGTATCGCCCTCATTTTGTGCATCTCTTCGCCTATTAGGACACTTAAGCATGTGATCTAACATAGATTTTGTCCCACAATTCCTAGCATTTTTATACCGGCGATCGCAATACTTACAAGCACCATATGGAACACCCTTAACCTTCATCGGCTCGAAATGATCCCATGCTCGGGAATATCTCCTTTTTTTCAGTTCAACTTCATCAGGTTGTGAAGGCCTTTGACTCTCATCGTCTAAGGAAATAGCATTAGTAGATGAAGCTAGTAGATTCTCTTCAATTTGAGATGCCATGATTATCTAGTAAAACAAAGACAAGAAATATCACTAAAAACTGATATTTAGAAACGCAATTGTAGGGCAGAATTAATTGTATATACAAGTTCAGGTTTTCTTTTCATACTTCACTGTGCTATTTTTTTTGGCATATTTGTATTATCATCAGGATCTCAATGGACCCAAAGTAAAAGAAGATGGTATTAATACATCATAAGAGAAACTGATATATTTCACATATTTACATCTCAGCTTGGTTAATCATACTGTTGGACCCTTACTACAACTTGGTTAATTTTGAATGACAAGGAAAGGTAAACTCCTTCATGTATTTCCATACATCTCAAATAATTGCTCTAATTTGAAAGTTATAAGCTAACACAACAGTTATTTATTGGTTTATATTTCAACAGAAGAATCTAATCTTCTTTTGTAAGCATGTGACTTCACTGTATTTGTTATCCAAAGTTCTCTTTCCTTGCCATCTATTCACATGTTATATTTTATTGCAGTACTATAAAACCTCCCACCAGTCAAAGCACTATGCTTTCTACGACTATGGCATTATCTTTTTCATGTGGTCTTGAATGCTTGTTTAGTTTCTTTAGCAAAACTGATCTTCTTTCGTTACTAGTTGTTTAATAGTTCTTTGATTACTGCATTTTGATTTGAGATGATTTTTTCTAAGTAGATGATGCACGTGAAGCGAATGCCCTCTATGTTGCTCGGACTCTTGGAACATGTCGTCAGGTGCGTGTTAGATCCTCCAAGAATAGTGTATTTTGGAGGATCCGACATGGGTGTGACAACAGTCCGCGCAACATAGAATGCCCTATATGTTCTCTTTTTAGTAGTCTAACCATCTACCATTCTGATTACTTGTCTTCTTTCATTCGATACTTCCTCAACGACCTCCACCTCTTTTGTCCAAATCCCACGAAACTAATTAATTGTTCTGTTGGTAATCTTTTTTTTTACAAGACATAGACCACCACCTACGATTTGTAGGGCAGAATTCCCATCAGGACAAGCTTTGGGTGGTCATATGAGAAGACATAGACCACCACCTACGATTACAGCAACAAACAGTACTAAGGTTACAGATGAGACAACTTCGGAATCATCACATGATGATGAGAATTCGAAGGAGAAGCCAAGAATTATTTTCTAAAAGACTAAAATTCCCAACAGAATATAGAATCAGAGAAACCAAGTAGCAACAAAATCGAGTCCGAACCTGACAAATAAAGACCGGTAGACCTGGTCCAAGGTAGTTCTTCTCTAAAAAAGGTCTGTTGATCAGTGAACCACCATTACTAGGCCGGAAAAGACCAGTGGTCGTGACAAAATGAATGGAAATTATTAGAGAAAAAAGAGAACTGCGTACTTATTAGATATTTACCTGGATTTGCTGGAGGAAGAAGAATCGAAGAAGGTTTGAGGAAGAAGAATCACAAATTCGCAGCAGTTCAAAGAGGAAGAAGAATCGCATGAGAGATTGAGAGTTTCTGACTTCTAAGTTTGGAAATTAGGTTTTAGGATTTTAGCGTTTGGGATTTAAGATTTTGGGGTACGCGGGTCTAACTTATTTGGACCCGACCCAGCTATTAACCTGCATGTACCCTACCCTGCCCTGCCCTATTAAAAATTTTCAAAAATAACAATTTGCCCCCCCCCCCTGCCCTGCCCCATTAAATTCTTCCCCTGCCCCGCCCCATTTATGGTTATCCCTGCCCCGCCCTTCCCCGCCCTGCCCCAATTGCCATCCCTACATGTGCGTATTGAAATTTTTGTTATAGTTCAAGTTGTGGGAGGGTAAAAAACCACCAAAGGATGTGGTGCAGTGGATGAGACTGCTTTTCCCTTAACCAGAGGTCTCGAGTTCGAGTCCTGGGTATGGAGAAATTCTTGGTAGGGAGTGCTTCCCCCGAATGGGGCCCTACACGGCGCGAATCCGGATATAGTCGGGCTCCAATACGGGTACCGCACACCATAAAATAAATCAAACTAGTATGCTAGCCAGGTCTCGACCTCGACTTGGGGTAGTCTCGAGGTGGGATGGTAAGAATAGTAAATGATAAAGCAACTCTGAAGAACAGTAAGTGAAATAGCAGGAAAGTAATGAGTGTATATATTCTTATCAGTGAACAAAGATGATCCTTACAAATGAATGGGATCCCTCTTTATATAATAGAGGAGTCCTAAATAAGGTACCTCCTAATTATAGTAGGAAACTATATTAACATCTAATTAACCGTTGTAGATTGATCCGTTCCGAGATTCACGCCACGATCGTCGACCAATCGCGGATATCTCGCCTTTTTGGTTATCAAGCTATGCCGATGTCACTCGAAGTCCGCTTCTTTCTGGCCGCAATCGATGTCGACCTCAGTCCGGACTCGGCGTCCTAGCTCTTTGACGTGACATTCCTATCTCGACCAAAGAATGAAATCGGGTAGCCCCGATATCTACCGTATACAGATAGCCCTCTCGTTTCTTAGAGTAAAACGATAGGAAACGACTTGAGCCTCGATTTTCTGTAGACCCCGGTAATGATGTCATCCCCGTGATGTAAGCGATCGAGGTGACCGAAACGTCTCGTCGGTACAGTTCCCCAAACCATTAATGCTTTCCAGTGGACGGTCGACCACTAGCACCACAGAATCGTCGCCGTGAATATATAAATACAGGCTCTTTGGTTAAATCAAAATTTTACTTTCACTTCCACCAAGTTTTCTAAGTCTCTTACTCTCTCCATCTCTTCTCTTTCACCACCCGATGAGTCAACTTTATCAGTACCAAAAATACCAAATTTTACCTCTTTCCTCTTCTTTCTACCTGAACTAGTGGCGAAAACCTCCAAGAGCAACCCACAAAAGGAGAAAGCTTCTTCCTCTTCTTCCTGGTCGGCCGGTGACAAAACGCTGGTGGAACTGCTTCCTCACGAGTATGTTCCCGGCCCTTATGTCATAAAATCCGACTTCAAAGTCGAGAACCCTCTATCGGTCCCTGGCCGATGTGAACACGTGTCGAGATATATTTGCTCGATAACGGCGGGCCATCTCGAGGCTGTGAAGAGAGACTGCAACTGGGGGCCGAGGTCGTGGTACAAATCCCCGCTCCCTAAGAGAGTATTACCACCTATGTGGAGGGGTTTCTAAGTGTCTACACTTACCCCTTGACATTGGGTCCTCTCGACCCAGTCATTGTCGACTTTTGCAAGAGATACCAAGTCACCCTCGGCCAGATTCACCCCTCGTTCTGGCATATATTGATCATGCTTCGCTTCTTTTCCAGCAAGGCCGAGGGGCTGGAGTTCACTCTCAGCCACCTCATACGGTTATATCGACCTCGGCTTTTTTGAGGGTTTATCAAGCTCCAACGCCGAGCGGCGAAGGCCTTGTTCGCGAGCGTCGATGAGGACAAGGACCGGGGTTAGATGAGCCGGTTCGTGCGGGTGAGGACCTTCGACCTTATCCCAGAGGAGAAACTGCCGTTTCCTGAGAAGTGGAACCCCGATCGTAAGTAACATATTACCCATTAGTCTTCGCACTCAGTTTTTTGCTTTATGTAATGTTTTCATCTCTTATGCAGCGGTTGCTTGGATGCCTCTCGCGGTCCCCGATCTCGAAGATTGGGTTCGAAAGTTGGCCTCAACTTATTCTCATGCCGAGCACTGCTGGCGTGACTTAGCAAGGGGAAGATAGGAGGCAAAGAACCATGGTGAGTGTTTTCTCCCTTATATCCGAGGTACTTCTCATACTTATTTTTTTTACTAAGCTTCTTTTCGTGCAGTCTTGAATAAAGACGCAGTTCTGAGGCCCCCGAGTGGCGAGGAAGAGGCCGAGTTCCCAATGCCGAAGTCGAGGAAAGATAAAAAGAGAAAAAGGGTCTCGGAGTCTGAGGATTCCCAACCTAAAAAGGCTCCAGCTCGAAGACGCAGGAAAAATGTAATCCCTCTGACTATAGAGTCGGTCCACCAGCTGGGGGAAGAAGAAGAGGAAGATGAGGGAGATGGCTCGGCGCTGGTGGTTCGAACAAGGAAGCCGGTTGAGGCCGCCAAGCCTTCCGAGCCGAAGGCTATTGTCGAGACCCGGCCCCGTGATGAGGAGGCCTCGAAGAAAGATTCGGGAAAGGCCCCCAAATCGTATGAGGTTGAGGTTATCCCTCGGCCATCAATAAACATATCGGAGGGGGCCAGTTCTGAGACCCCCAGGGCTGAACAGAGCGCCCCGAGAGATTCGCTCGCGGTTGTGACAGTAAGTCACTCGCCTTCTCTACTGGCCTTTTTCGAGGAGGCTATAAGAGATGCTCAGGCTCTACAGACCCCTGACATAGGCGGAGTCCCCAATGAAGAGGATGCTTTTCGGGATTGTTTTACCGGGGTCGATGATGCTGCTGATCTCAATGATGCGTCTACCCTATTTGAAGAGGCCCAACGCCTTTTATCTCGAGTAAGTGCTAATCCCCATTGTTGCAATTTTCTTTTCCTTATTGTCCCTTTAACCTAATTTATATCTTTCTTCTCATATAGGCTTTTACCAAGTCTTGGGCCGACCTGAGCCAATGCGAGGTCGAGCCCCAAAAGACCTCGGAGGAGAGGAATGCTTTGAAGCTCCTCTGCGGTCGAAAAGATGAGGAGCTCAAGAATCTTCGAGTGGACTTGACCCAGGCTCGTAAGGAAGAGGCCGAGCTGAATGAGCAGGTAAATGTCCTTTTGAGAACATATAGGATTGAATCAAGAGTGGAGGCTAACACCTCGAGGTCTCAGTTGCAGCAAAATATTGAAAGGATCGAGCTACTCCGGGGGGAACTCGATCAAGTTAAAGCTGACTGTAATTGGTGGAAAGAGAATATGGACCGCCTAACTGCGGAGAAAGAGGATGTCTTGGCGCGACTGTCATCTCCGAAGTTCAAGTTCGGAGTACTAAAGAGAAGAGTCAGCCCAAGCCAAAAGGATCAAAGAGTTCGAGGCCGAGCTTGCTGAGGCCAAGGTGGAGGTCGAAAAGGCGAAGGCC